TAGAGTAATGAATCAGCATGTAACAGGAGAAACGATTGAAAGGACTCTACCGGAGCCATTACAGGAACTTCTTGAACACTGTACTGATTAGACTGACAGTGAAACTGCAAGACTGAAGGAGTTGCTGTATGATTACCAACATGTCGTCTCCCTTACAGAAGGGGACCTGGGTACCACACAAATGATCAAGCACCGAATTGAAACAGGCAATGTGCTTCCAATCAGGCAACAACACTGACGCACCTCTCCATGGAAACATGACGAAATAGAACGGCAGGTAGCAGACCTCCTGCATCAAGGGAGGGTGACAGAATCGTCAAGCCCTTGGTCATCTCCAGTTGTCTTGGTGACTAAAAAGGACGGAAGCCAGAGGCTGTGCATTGACTATCGTCAATTGAATGCAGCAACTGTTAAAGATGCCCTCCCCTTGCCAAGAGTCGATGATTCACTCTCTGCTTTAAGCAGTTCAAGATGGTTTTCCACGCTGGAATTGCCTCTGGTTACTGGCAAGTGGCCATGGATGCAAGCACCAAGGAAAAAGCAGCATTTGTAACTTTTAGCGGCTTGTATGAATGGAATGCCATGCCTTTCAGGCTCTGCAATGCGCCAAGTACATTTGCCAGATTGATGGAACTTGTCTTGAAGGGTCTTCATTGGAAAATCTGCTTGATTTACCTTGATGATGTGATTGTCATGGTGCCCACATTTGAGGAAGAATTAGAGCGGCTGAAACAGGTGTTTGAGCGACTTGCCCATGCAGGACTGAAGCTCAAGCCAAAGAAGTGTTTTCTCTTTCGGAAAAGGGTTTCGTATCTTGGACATGTGGTCACAGAAGAAGGCATCACTGCCGACCCTGGAAAGGTGGAACAAATTCGTACATGGCCCGTTCCAGAAAGCAGCATGGAGGTCAAAAGCTTCCTCGGACTTGCCTCTTATTATCGCAGGTTCATCCCTGCTTTCTCAACTGTAGCGCAACCACTGTACAAGCTAACAGAAGCAAAGACTGAATTTGTTTGGACAGGGCAGTGCCAACAGGCTTTTGACAGCCTGAAAGGGTTACTTACCTCCGCTAGAGTCCTGGCCTATCCGACCAGGGAGGGGAAGTTTGTACTAGATACTGATGTGTCAGACCATGGAATCGGTGCACAGCTTCAGGATGGGGTGGAGAGACCTATTGCATTTGCAAGTCGAACATTGTCTAAGTCAGAAAGGAACTATTGTG